GGGACCATAATGGCTGTAGTTCAGTGGGTCAGCAATTCCTTTTTAAAAATGACCCTGTTGTTGATTGACTTTGTACCGCAGTCGGGTCCTTTGGCTCTAATTCAAATACCCTCCCAATTGTCGCAACTCAGATTTTCCTGAAAAATTTCTTAAAATACCTTGACAAACCAACCAAAGGAAAATGAGGGTTTAACTTGATATTTTTCTTGCTTTAAGACTTGAAAAGTTCACATGTCAGGCCTCTTTTTGATGTCAGTGAAATTGCTTTTTTATTTCGGTAATTCTTTGTATTGTTTCTTTTCCCGTAAAGTTGAAAAATTGATCAATGGTGTGAAAGGTATTTCCTGCTTATAGTAGATTCTGCTGTAGGAAGTTGATCACTTCTTTAAAAAATCTGGAAGTTGTGAGCCCCTTTAACTCTAAATTTACATTTGTTTGTACATGTGTGATGAGAGAGATTACCAGTGCTTTTCATTGAAATATTCATACATAAGGTACTGGATGATCAATAATTTTCTTGCTGCAAAACATGTTACCTTGTATGCATATATGTGCATATATAGCATATTCTTAACACAGAATATGAAGTCAATTTAGTTTTGCCTACTTAGCTGTGATGACATATGTGTACATGTACATATATGCATGCTAAATACTTGTACTTTACCCCTTGTGCCTCCTGTTCTGCTGAGACTGTCGATAGTCTCTAGTATTGTGTTCTTTGAAGCCCAATTATTACATAAAGTGTAGGAAAAAATGTTCTCTGTGAGTAAGTAAGTAGTTTTAGTGTCAATTATGGTAGAATGGGGAACCCACTATTTCAGAGACTTTTGAATAGTTTAAATGCACATTTTTTCTCTGTTTATCTATGGATGATTATTCCTTCTCTAGGCACAGGGTCTGGAACTTTGTATACCTCTGATGCTGATGGGATTGTGTTTTCTGTATCACTCAAGAAACACCTGGTAATGTCTTGCAAATTCCATAAAAATTGAACCTCTTGTCCCTTCTTGTTGCAAATTATCAAGCTGTATCATGACCTGTTATCAACCTGGGCTTCTTTGGTAACTTAGTGCCTAGTCCTTTCATATCTCAAAGGTACATGTATATGTATTTTTAGAAAATCAGTTTATGTGCAAAGTGTTTATGTGAGGATACATTTATGATACATAAGTTTACTCATTGGCATAGAAATAGAGCATTTAGTCCATGATACACTCCATCATTGTTACATTTGTTTTTGCAGGTCATAAAATGCTCTTGAGATGCATGTCTCTACATTCAAAAGACACATCATTTAATGTCATGTTATTAGATTCTATTTTTTCATGATTGTTACTAAAATCCCATGATTGCAATCTTCCTGTTACCCTCCCAATTTGTTCAATTTGTGCTAGTATGCTGAGAGGTCTGCCACGACAGATTTTTACCGTGTAACCTCAATGCGTGGTGTGTACTTGGCAAGCCAGGTTGGAGATGATCTTTCAATTCATACAAATATTACATTTGACCGTGGCGGCATCTGGCATCCTGTGAAGGCTCCTGAAGGCTCTGTATGTAAAAACTCAGCAACGGTTAGTGTATACTTTATGTATTTAAAACAGGAATTTTACAAATTTTGCAAAGTTAGGATTGAAAACATGTCTTTCTTTAATCATTCTGATTATTTCTCCATTTTCTCCATTTTTGTGGTAAACCCTTAATCCAAGACTGAATTGCACTAGCAACTAAGAATTTGAAGACGCTAAGAATTTGAAGACTGTAGTGTGCATCTCCAAAAGTCTAAAGTGCATGTACTCTAATAAGAATTCTAATTATTGAGAATTCAAGTTGTAGATGAAAATTCTAATGATTAATTTGTGAAACTAAAGAGTGTTAATATGTGATCAAGAGTTTGGACTACACTCTCAACCTCAACCTTAATTATTTTATCTGAAAAACATCAATTTTAACAAATTGTCATGTTATGTAAACATGCCTTGAGAAACCGATACAGCAGTTGGACAAAATTAAGGTGATGATTGATTATACAATTTACATGTAATCCATTATTTACAAAAGCCCAATAAAGCCAATGAAGTATAAATTTCTAGCCTGACACTAATTCGTTTTAATGAAGTAGTAATTCGAAATAAGGAATTACAAATCTGAAATAAGAAATTACTAATCCCAAATAACAAATTACTAATCTGAAATAACGAATCACAAATCCAAAATAACAAATTACTAATCCAAAATAACAAATTACTCATCC